CTCTCTCTCTCTCTCTCTCTCTCTCTCTCTCTCTCATCTCATCTTTTATTCCTCTATACAAAATTGCTCTACTAAATGATAATCTCTCGGGGTTCGATTTCTACGATAGAAACGCGGTCACTCTTCGCGCAATCTTGTAAAGCTTCGCGGCACCCGATGGGGAGAGCGATCTCGAAGATAAATCGAAGTAAGAGTTTGCGAGAGCAATTTCTTCCGATAATTTTGAAGTAGGAATCACGATCATTGACGATTGATGAGTGCGAACAGATGATACATATCTCAGGTATTTTAATGTCAATTCCTGAGTGAAAAGAGTTTCGCGAGACCGCTAACGACGTTGCGAGAAAATTGAATGATCCAGCTGTACTCTCGCAGAAATTGTAATCGTATTTGCGATCGATGACAAGTGCAAGAGCGAAACGATAGTGATCGATCCGCGTTCGCAGCAAACGATTAGTCTTCCCATTATTTCCGCGCGCGTTTTTATTTCGATACGTCGAGAGGCATGCACGACAGACGAGAGCGAGAGAGAAACAAAGACGCGAAGACACGAAAATACGTCCAAAATGTTATCCAGATCGAATCATCGTCAATGATCGTTCGAAGAATATCCCTGAGAAATCAAATTGTAGCACCGAACGAAGCCTGGCTAGAATGACTAAATGAAAAAAAGCTGCTTTCAAACTTATAATAAAAAACATTAAAACCTGTACCTTCTGTTGTGTTTTATTTATTATAGAATACGCTCCTCCTAGATGGGAGAGCCTCTCGTTATTCGTATTACATCTTTTCGCCATTTTCTTTATAAATAAGAGAAATCAATTCTTTTTCAGATTAATTTGTATTGTGTACGTAAAAATGTATATTTCTTAATTAATATAATTTTGTGTTTCACAACACACAATTTTACATACAATTAGAATTCGTCGTGTGTAATTCTAATTGGGTAGTCTTTCCTTTACGTTTAATAAAAAAATATTTCGTCTTGATTGATTTTTACACGGGTTCGTTTCTCAATACTTCGAGATACAAGACATTGGTTGAACCATCATTTTGTTGCACGGAACTGTTTGACGGAACTTTCGACTGTTTCCGAAAAGCCGATGATGCTTTTTTTAAAACGAACATCACGAAGGAATAAAACGAATATCACATCATATCCCGCCTTAATGTTGTTTCTCTAATACGTGAATGTAAAATCCGGGATCCTCGACCTGATTGAGCGGCTTGAAGTCACCGTAAATAGTATGTTTTGCCGCGTGACTGAATGCCTCGGTCAGCATGTCGCGGAAAACTGTTAATCTGTGAGGATAATACGACAGCCTAAACTCGCTAACGTATTCGGGATTATCCTTGTTCTCCTCATCCAGAGCGATCATGTAATCCAGAGTAACGATCCTCGGTTTTCCGGATACATAAAGTACCGACGTCTTGATGTCTGTCATATGTTGACTCTGCAATATGAAAAAAATGCCTAATGTAAAATTCTCTCTCATGTAAATAACGAGAAACTGCATAGTAATTATTCTTTAAGGGACAGATTAAATAAATGATTAACATATATAAATTGGAGATAAACAAATTTGTTGGAGATTTTTATAAATCATGGATATTTTATATCGGATATTTTTTAACTATAAAGCATACATTTAGCTAGTAATAATGATAATAATAAATAATTACATACTTTTTTTAATAGCACTTACGTTATAATATATGCATTTTGAGGGGGTTTGACCGGTTCTGATAATGTAATCGTAATTCCTGTGATCGATGAGCAGTAAACCTCCCGGTTTTACGCAACGCTCGAAATTCGCCAAGGCCTGTCTAGAATAATTTAATATTTTATAAATAATGCAGACTCATAAAGCATTCCGTGTATATCAGCCTGAATTATCTTTAAAATTGAATTTCACGCGAAGCACAGTGTTTGAAGTTTGAAAACCACTGTTCCGAGATACCAATCATATACATAATCTAATCTAATACCATCTATATAATGGCTAATTTTAATACCTCTGCTCTCTTTGATCGCCAAAAGAATCTGGCATGTGAGCAAAACTGTTTCCCAAACATATTACAGCATCGAAACCTTCTCCAACGAGTTGGCTAATATCGCTGGATAGAGTCAGCCAATTCGCCTCTTCGATCACTGTTGCAATTCAAAAGGTCAAAATGATAACGCTCGCAAAGACACATTTTTCGATACAAATTTTTCAAAAGATAATAAAATCTGCTCATTTCGCTAGGATTTTCATTGTAGATATAATTTCTCAATACTTTAACACTAATAAAAATAGTTCGATAATTATTACAAATATAATCTTTCGATATGATTATTTGCTTCAACTGACACACATAGATATAATTTGCGTTTTTAGCTTAAAATATTACGTGATTGAAATCACGAAGTCGAAGGCCAGGAAATGGAAAGCGAAAAGTCACGCTTGACTTTTGCTGATTAGCCGAAAGACCCTTTCTGTACTTTTATCTGCTAGTGATAAGCAATCCAATGATTGTTTTTGAAAACACGACCGCCGTACTTTAAATCGCTTTATCTGTCCTCGATTTCACAACGATTATGTAAATATATATGTATGTATTAATGATTAATTTTTTATAAAATTGTATTTAGTATTTGATCGCGTTAACAATAATTGTCTTCATTGTGCAAAGAGATTGCAAATTACGCATTCAATCTTCGTTAAATCTTCCATCTTGGCGTTATTGCGACATTGATTTAAATCTTGTTAAATACGTCATCGTAACTCGTACCACGTTTCTCAATCGAAAATAACAAAATAGATACGAGCTCTTGCGTGTCGATCTTCTAAATAACGATCTCGTATCGACCTAATTAAATATGCTCTAATTTTCCTCCACTCCAATTTTTCGAGAGGACACTTTTCGTTTTTTTAATCTCTCTTTAATTTTGCCGAGATCTCTCTTTAAGCTCGACGAGAAGTTTCGATTCTGTCTGAAAATATCAAACCTATCGAAATCCAATTTGCTCACCCCAGTTGTCGAAAGCAGGCTCCTTTCTCCGATCCCATCTGGATTTTAGCGCGTGCTTAAGCATCTTGTCAGACGCATCGACGCTGACGACCTCGAAGCCCTCCTCCAGCAGCATCACGGAATCGACGCCGGTGCCACAAGCGACATCCAATATTCGGCGACATCCCTTCCGCCGCAACAAGCCCACCAGGAAGTCTCGATAGTTTTGCGTACGTTGCTTCTTGTCGCCGATGAAGACCTCCCAGACTTTTGCCGCTTTGCCATCCGCATATTGATCCTTGACACCCTCGGCCGGCGTACCGAGGGAACGGGTACGAAACACGGAATCCACCATCGCGAGGGAAACGAAACCTTACGGGCACGAAACTACGGGACCAAATCCGCATTTTATCAGACAGGAGTACAGGACAGTTGTAACAAAATTGAAAAGTATATCGAAGAGAATTATTAGGCTTAATTAAAAACGCTCTGCTCCGTTCTTTTCCCTTTACCATCCCGATTATCGAACCGATCACATATAAATCCAATAGAATGTTATTGTTACTTTATTTTTTCTAATTCTCTATTTTTTTTTTTTTTTTTTTAAGAATATTATTTCATATTTGCTAATCGGTACAAATATATCTATGATGTCTTATGTTGACGTATTATTAATTTTTCTTGTTAATAATTTTTATTTACTGTGGCGACTATATCGTTGTATACACATCGACATCCGAATCAGCTCAACAAAACAGTCTTATGTTATTCTCTTTTGTAGTAATTTCTTTTGGTATTAGTCACGTGTACATAATTTCATGATTTGTATTTTCTTTGTAACGTTACAACGTTATTTCCTTTGTAACATAATTTGAACGTTTAACGACTCGAGACAAAGGGACAAACAATAACAACGAACGTACAACATACTCGTTATTAAGAATTAAGATATATTGTTTTTGTTTTTTGTAAGAAGAATCTCGAAGGAGAGAAGTATAGAGAGCTGATAGGGAATAAACGAATGGAGAACGAGGGATTCGATCGACAGACACCAACACAGGCGACAGGCGTGTAATTAAAGCGAGAACAAAAGACATACATGAATAGTAATCGAACTTTACGGAATATTAATCCATTCTGGCATTACCATATACCTTCAAACTACTTTGTGCCAATCACTTTTCCTTTATATATAATTAATCGTACATTCCGCGGCGCAAATTTCCTGTCTGCGAGATCGACCAGATCGGCTCCATTACGCTGTTCCGCATAAATTATTGTTATCTCACGCTAATTTCTAGCGTAGTCAACAAGGGCTCTTGACGTGAGTCGAGCGTGCGTCAGGTTTAGGCACCGAGGGCAAAAGGAGGGAAGGGTGACCTCTCCCTCCAGTACGCCACGCGCCCGCTCGCTCAGGGGAGGGGGGGGGGGATATCCCTGGTGAGTAATCCTATTGTCTCCTAGCATTTTCTATTTACTCTCGAGGACGCACTCTGATTAAGCGCGGGATTATAACGATCTCGGTGCAAGATTAAATGCGGAAGCGATCGCATAATTAAATATATAGCTCCTCGATTATTGAAATTCCGAACAGTGATTCGGTAGAAGGTATATGTATTTATTATGATAATAGACACCGATATATGATAATGAGTGTCGATATAATAATTATAATAATTATTCGTTAATTAATTATTCAATCTGATATATACCTGATATAGCTGATACAGCGGGAAACTCATTGTCGTGAAATTATTTGCCAAATTATTTGCACAGTTTTAACATTTATTTATTTTTACCGTTACACGGCTATTTTGATCTTAAAAAAAAATAAGCGAATTGACTTAAGCGAGGGGCACGTTGCAGATTGTTATATATACAAAAATGAATGAGAAAATAAATTTCCAGCTTTTTACCGCTTCTTTTATACTTTTCCCTTTTTATCATTTTATAAATTATTTTATAAGCAAAAATTAAATTTTGCTTCGTTGATTTGACAAAATAAAATCGTATTTGAAGAGTTCGATGTGTCTCTTCCCAATTTACTTTTTTAACGATTCGAACGAAGTATTCTGAGAAATTAGCTAAATTAACAGTTTAATAAAAAAAAAACGAATAGAAATTAGCGGGAGTTTAAATTTAATGTAACTTTCTAATGTCTAACAATAAGATAATTTTTTTGTTTTTTTAAAGGAGATTAAGTTGTTTGCACTTTCGAACTTTATTTTTCCTCTCTTACGAGATATCGTACCTTCAGCTCCGGAGAACTTTCCACGATTGATCACGTTGGGTGATGAAACCGACTCCCGTTCAACAACCGAATATCGATGCGACAACCACGCGAAATGAAAACTGTCGCAGTGATACAGCAGTCGTCGTGCTTATATACGCGGTGATAAATAACAGTCGGTGCGATAGCGTACGGGGGATATGTGGATTCACGCACCGTCGTGACTGGATCCCAATGTGATGTAACAGTTTCCACGCGACGCCTATGATTCGGTTTAGTAACGTTTGATAAAAGCGAGCGGCTCCGAGTTCACCGGAATAATCGTGAAATCATTCGACTTCAGGGACAATTCTCGCGCAACTCTGATCGTCGATTGTACAACGGGTCGTTAGTTACTCGATCAATTAACAAGTGCCATCTCACACACACTTTGTAATCAGGTTGTCAATTAAATATCGCGCGAGTCACCCCTCGTGATTCGATTCTCTTTTCGCAATTTCGAGACTTCAACGCGCTTTTAACGCTCTTATTATTGCACATATTGCTTCGCGTGTACAACTTTGGAATGGCGCAGCATGCACGTGGCAGTTGATAAATGTAAAGCTCTAGCTGTACATATAAGACATAATATTCCAATAACTTTGGAAAATGTCGATACGGGCCATCATTGTGAATGAAGCGTTATCATCTAAAATGTTTCATCGCTATTTGAATAATAATTCTTTTTTTCCTCTCCGCCAATGTAACATACTTGTTGCATAATTATGTCATTTTTATGTATTCTTTTTATTTATATTAATTAAATCTTTCTATTTTCTATCAAACAAGTTTTTTTTTTTTTATAGATGTAGAGTATCGCGGATATCATCGCAAATATTACTAACACCCTTTTTTTTTAACTTTCGAAAGATACGCTGCAACGCACAGAATCTATTATGTCATGTTACAACGTCATCATTATCATCAAGAAAGCGTATTCTATATGACGCAGTATACGATGACTTGCAAATCGATGATCTGTAGCGTAATTAGAACAGAATTGCGAAAGATAATCGTGATCGATCCAAATGTGTCCAAATTTACAATATTTACACAATATGGTACGTAATGGGATTTTAATAATTTCAAAACACACATTCGACCCGCGTACGTACGTAACGAAAAAAGTAACATCTTAAAATATGTTAATAATATTACATTCCAAGAATAATGGATTCTTTATTACAACCAACAGAACACTCTTACACTTTTTACAATTACATAAATATATAACAATGTAGTACGAATCAATTATTCTTAGTTTATTAACGGTACTTTAAGTACTACATATTTTACGGGCATAAAAAAACGCATTATTAATTTTCATCATTAATTTTAACAGAAGTCATGTGTATGTTTGCGAATGGGTCAATAGAATGCAAATGATAAGGTCACAAATAAACAAAAAAATATTTATCTCTATAAATGTAAAGGGGAAGTTTATGTGACATCTCCATTTTGATTATAGATTGGTCTTATTTTAAAGAGCATACAACTATAAATTGGCAGTCATGTTGTCAAAGACCTTTTATATATTGTTTAATCTTATGCAATTTAAAAAACTGATTTTATAAAATTATTTAAATATATAAATATTAATCAAATGCAGCAAAATCAATTATAAAAGACAATTTTCTTCTCATAAAGTTTATAGTTTATGAAACTAAATTTAGAATGCAGAAACATTTTTTGTAATACTTTGAAGTAATAACAAGTTATACAGAATTTCAATAAAATTGTCTCTTTTAATGGATAATATATGTAATAATTTAAAATTTTGTCATTTATATTATCTTATATAACATCTTTCTTTGTAACAGAAATAGAAAATCGACAAACGCATTTTGCAAATGCATTTGTTCTTATATTGAAATATATTTTCAGAATATATTTCATAAATATATTTCAAAATTTTGCCATAAAATTTATGAACTTTATTTAGAAATATACACAAAATCTCTCCAGATGTAGATGCTTATGTGAAAAGTATAGATCATATGGCATATGTGAAAAATGTTAAATTTTACAAATCAAGATTCTTCATGAATAAATCATTGATTAAGCTTAACGTCTTGAATTGTGCACAACAATCTGGTGAGTGCAATAGATTAGATTAAAATGCTAACAAGATTTAATTCATTTTCTCAAACTATGTAATGATCAGATGAATGTTGAACTATATCACTTTGTCAATTGCAGCAAGTTTCTTCCATGCTCTCACAATCTCCACTTTTTACAACAGTTCGTACCCTCATATATTTTTTAAATCATCTGGCAACTGATTTTTGGGATGTTTATTTTCAAAGTGTTGCTTGTAAGTCTTAGGATCTGGCATTTGTGCCTGCAAATAAAAATAATTTATGTTAAATATACTACCAAATCTTTCCAAAAATCTAGAGATAGTATAAATTTTCTCACCTTGCATACAGAACATACATGCACGAGTGCTTTCTGTGCTGCCTTTTTTTGTTCATTGGCACTATGTCCTTGTTGTTTCTTCAGTTTTGCACTTTTTTCTGCCGCTTTGGCTTGAGATTGTATTTTCTGCTGTCCACGAGCCATTCTAGAAACAAGAGTCGGCAGATAAGCGGAAACATAATATTAATGATAAAGGCACACCTAGCTTTGTTTCTCTTCATGGAGTTCATTGACACCACACGCAGGATTAAATTTAGAATATTCAACAACATACAACAATATCAAACGTCTCTTTTTTTTTGACTAGCTAAGAAATTTAATTAATTATATTCTCCAACGTGTGACACTGTCTGTCAACGAACCGATTGTCTTTCTCTTGTCTCCCGCAACTATCATCTCTCCAAATAAAATGCAGAACCCATGTCGCGTACCCTACCTGCCTAGCTATCGAAAGTATTCGAAAGTCTGGCAATCGAAAATATTCGCGATACCAATACCAAAAACTCGATCGAATTGTTCGAGTTTTTCCTGCCGTGACAATTCGCTACTATGGCTTGGAGTAAGGTATAAGGTTTCGGCCGTTGGCAAAAACTGCACGAAAGGCTTTCTAGGACGAGAGAGAAAGAGAAAGGTGAAAAGAGAGAGAGAGAGAGAAAGAGAGAGAAAGAAAGATAAGAAACAGCGCATTTCGCCACGGGAGAGCCTAGAGTCCGTGTGTCATCTGGGAGGCCTGGCTCTTCTCTCGTCTCTCTTTCGCCGCGTGTCGGATATGCGTCTCGTTTCGAGTGCAGGCAGTGCACGGCACGGTGCAGCTGACAGTCCGAACCGACTTCTTACCTATTTGCAGGCGGCGAGTAGACGTGCTCGGCAAACGGTGCCTTTTGATTTTTCGACTGAAGTACGACTTGGAAGCGACGATAGAGGCGTAGGCGGTTGCCTCTCGCGGTGAGAGAGAGAGAGAGAGAGAGAGAGAGAGAGAGAGAGAGAGAGTAGTAGCCTCTCGGAGAAAACCCGCGGTGATAGCGAGCAAGCCGAATTACACTCGAGACCGGAGCGTTTTTCGCGCACGATGAATAAACTCGCGTGAAGAGAAATCGAATAGCGTGGCAGCTGGTGGCAGCGATGCGCGAGCGACGCGCGTCAAAACAGCGAGAAGTCCGTGTTTCGGATTCTCTCCCCCCCGAGGCTCGCCGAGCTGTCCCGCGAAAGCCGCAGCGCGATTACAAACTTTCCTTTTGATCGATATACGCGGCGAGGGCACGGTGAAATTTTCGTCGTTCGAATATCGGGCCTAAAGCGCAGTTCGTAATACTCGCCACTTGGCCGAGTGTTGCTCTAAACGCTCACAACAGCCAATCACGTCTCGAGGATCGCTACGAGAGATCTGACTGTGTGGTCATGCCCTTAGATCAGAAACATTCAAAATTATTTCGAACAAATTTTAATTAACTTGCGCCCAATTTCTACATTTCAATAGATCAATTTTAATCTCGGTTTTATTTTATTCTCTTGTTAATTCTAAAAATTAGATAAAAATAAAAAGGAATAGATTTAAATCGAGATTAAAATTACTCGAAATTAAAATCTAAATAGAAAATGGATTCATTGATTCGCGATTTTATATATTAAATAAAACACTAATAATTCCGTCATATCAGTGACTTTACAATCAAATAAAATGAAGATATAGCAAGTAATCGATATAATAAATCGAGATGAACAATTGTTTCAATTGTTTGTCAAATTTACAAATAAATCCAATTAAAAAAAAAAAAATAACAAAACACATAAGATCTTGTCCGCCGAGCAACGTTCATCTGTTATTCTGTGAGTTCGAGGCTGTATCGATAAATTAATCGAATCTACGATCTGATCTTATATCTAAAAATCCTTAGATCTTATCTCGAGACTCGAGACTCCAGCCAATAAGATAGCCGCATGGCTTCTCTCAATCTCGAGATCGGATTCTACGAGCGCGCTCCCATATCCTCTTTCCCTTCCTCCCGAAAAGATGAGTCACGTCGTCATTCACGGAGGAAGAGACGTTTAAAGTCTCCTCGGCGAGACTCGCGTCGCGCCAACGAAATTTGGGCCTGGTCGTGATTTTTTGGGGTGAGTCGGTGCTCTATAGCGCACGTGTGCGCCGCGACCCGTTGCAAATTATGGAAAATGGCTGATGATTCGTCGGGACGTGTTTTGACAATCTCGCTCGCCTGAGCCCCCGATGCTCGTCGTGGACGTCACATCGCGGTGGGAAGCATCATTTTCGCAATATCGCCAGCAGCGGTCACGGCGCGATGTAAAAGATCAACGGTGCGTTCGCGCTGCGTGTCCCGCTAGTTGCCCACTTATCTCGTGCATAACTCGTTTAAACGAGTCTCGATCTCTTCCTATCGTTAGGAAACACTGTTTCGAGCGACTGACATCGCCGCGGTTTTTTTCCTTTTTTCTTTTTTCTTTTTTATTATTTATGAGATTTATGCGTGAAGTCAGTCGTAACCGATAAGTAATTAATGTAATGTACCAAGTGTTACTCTCGACAAGTGAGTTTGGACTCCGCTTTTGCTTGATCGTTTTTTTCATCTTAAATCGTCACGAGTGACATTTGTGTTCGACACGTTAATAAAGCGATCGTGAGAACGTGCCGGAACGTGTTTTTATTCTTGAATTTGTTTCGTTTGTTATTAAAAAGTACATTATTTGAGTACAGAGATATAGATATCTATTATGTTAAAATCATAAATGTTCACAGATAGAGGATTCTCTTTGGTAAATATATTAATAGAATGTTTTTATTGTTTGTACAGGTGAAAATGCAACAGATCCACTGTATTCTTTGACATAGCATCTTCCATGCAGCTAGGTAGATATAGAACCAATCAAACATTATTGGTTATATCATAGAGTTATGAGTTAGAGATTGCGACATGCATCTTCTGTAGTTTCTACAATCATGGTATAGACAAGAATTATTAAGGCGATAAAATGCCTGCCATGCGAATTAATAATGGGACAGCACTTTGCTAGTCTCAGAGAGTTCTTTAGAATGGATGGTGAAAGACAGCCTACTGAGATATGCGCTAATGCGCTTAGCCTGCCATCGCCCTTGGAGATGCTGAATCGAGATGACAATGAGAGTTTGCCCGAAAACGAGACTAATGGCAATGTACCTGTATCAAACTCTAACATACTGCCGAACAGATCAGAATGTAAATTAGAAGGGAATTTGGACAACGATCGTTTAAACCTAGATGTAGACAACCATAACTCTAGATTTGAATCTTTGTATAGTCAACCTGTCGAAGCTCAGGATACAAAGCAAATTTGTAATAATGGTAATGTTACAAGCGACTCATCATTTAGACAGCAGCGGGAAGCATGCTGCAGTAGTTCTGGTGGTAGCAATAGTAGTAGCAGTTCCGAAGATAGCCCTGTGAATCCACCTTTAAGAAGATCCTCCAAAACGTTATCGTTTGGAAAGAGGAAAAGTAAGTAGTATCGAATTGATCTTTAATATTATAATTCTGTTGTTTGTCAACCATGTAATGATAATTTAAATATATTTATTTTAGACAAGCAGCGCAACAAGGATCAAAACCCAATATGCAATCACGTTTTGTCATCGAAAAAGAAACGCAGCAACTGGGTATTAAAATTCAATTGCGCCAAGAGCAAAAACTCGAAAAATACTGACATTATTCCCGGCCAAGGGAATGGTAATTCAGATTGTATATGCACTGGTTATAGGAGAACCGAAGAGCATCCTATGGGTGCGGGTATCGTATTTAACAGTCGGTCCGCTCCGCAAAGTCCCATTCTTGGGCCTCTGCCACCAAGTCCTGTAATCGATCTATCGCGATTTAACCCCGAAGAATTTCCTATGGAAGTACGTTTTTATCATTCAATTGCTTTCGGTAAAAACTTTCAGCAAAAATTTTATCGTGCTAATGGACCTTTTTTTGTAATTTTAAAGGATTGTGACGAACGCGCCCGAATGCAACGCGCTCGAGAAATGGAGGAAGGTGTCGAACCTCCTCCTGATTATAGGCCTAATTATCCTGCGGGAATACAAGTTCATCCTAATGGAATAACAGTGGACAGTTTGGCGGCATTGTTTCAAGCACATGCCGGTATTCAAGCTGCCGCTCTTACAGCTTTATCCCAGATTGACTTTACATTAATTCCAAATATCGAGAGACCTGCACATACGCAGGTAAACATCTGTTTTTATGACGTTAATCAACTTTATGCAATTGAATTGATATTATATAATTGCTAAATGTATATCGATATTTTAAGAGAAATCATTCTACGTGTTAAAGAAATGAAGATTATTTAAAATTTATATGTAAAAGACATTCCGTGCCGCATGTAAAATTTAGCATGGACCATCGAGTTCGCAAAACGAAAACCATCGCATGAAATGTTTTAATAAATACATGTTGTATACTCATATTATTTCATTATTTTATTTGTTATTTTCTAGGTTGATTATGTCCATTGTCTTGTGCCAGACTTGAGGTCGATTACAGCCTGTTCTTTCTATTGGGGCAAGATGGATCGTTACGAGGCGGAACGCTTGTTGGAAGGAAAACAAGAGGGTACTTTTTTGTTACGAGACTCTGCGCAAGAGGAATTTTTATTTTCCGTGAGCTTCCGTAAATATGGACGCTCGTTACATGCGCGGATCGAGCAATGGAACCACAAGTTTAGTTTTGATTCACATGATCCAGGAGTTTACGCTTCTGAAACTGTATGTATGCGTATATATTTGTCCAGATTTATTTTGTAATTTACATTTTTATAATCATTCTGTGAACACAGGATAATTATTTATATATGTCTTTACAGGTATGTGGCTTGATCGAACATTATAAGGACCCTTCATGTTGCATGTTTTTCGAGCCTATGCTCACAATCCCGCTGCATCGAAATTTCACGTTTCCGTTGCAACATCTGTGCAGAGCGGTGATAACTACGCGAACGACATACGATGGCATAAACAAGCTGCAGTTGCCAAAGACACTTAAGAGCTATCTCAAAGAATACCATTATAAGCAGAGAGTGCGAGTCAGGCGATTAGACACGGAAAACGATCCACACACGGACTGTAGATCCATATCATGTTTACCGATATGAATCTCTTCATATTGATATTTGCTAGATTTTTATTATGTGTTGCATAATTATGTTTCTTTATTCACATTTACAGTTGTGCCACCGTATCAAATACGAGTGGCATATGCATACAACATTGTAATATCAGAAATACCATGACTCTGACATACAGTTACACAGAATATCATTGCAATATTAGCAATAAAAATATTGTATTCATCTTAATACATAATGGGGGAAATGACATAGTATAATTTAAAAAAAAAAAAGTAAAAAGAGAAAAGATGGGCCTTGTCCGATCTCAGACGTGACAAGTGCCTATGTTTACTCGATGAAATAATCATATATGTAAATACGTCAGGACAACAGTGCTTCATACACATGCACAGTGTATTGCGAAATCGTGTATTATGTAAACTTCAATATCATTGCTATTGTTCTTACGATTATTACTATACTCATTTTTCTATTTTATTCCTAACTACGTTGTCTTTTAATTATTATTTTGAGTATATATAATTTAACCTTAATTGAAATTGCGGGAACAGTTTGTACATTGATAATTTTTATAGAACGATACCAAAACTTGCCTGAAAGGCATGGCAATTTAGTCTTTATTACTACAAAACTATAATGTCATCAAATTTAATCTTAACGTAGCTAAAGTTATAAAAAGGAGAAAGAAAGTGAAGGAGAGTCATTGCAAGATCTGGTTCGTATTACTCCTATTGTGTCCTATTTATAATGTTAAATATTATTAAGTAAAAGCTGTCTGTGTTGATGTTTCTCATTGCCAGATACAAAAATGTATAATTTGTGTAAATTATTTAAATTTCGAAATGTGAGGTTGATATCAGATGCAATGAATTGAATTTGAAATAAAAATGCAAATCATTGAATATTAATAAATTTGCAAAGTATATAATATTATAGTATGAAATTGTTAAAAGTATTGATTAATGGTTATTCCTATAATGAACTTCGTATAAAAAAAAATAAAAATTTAATATTTATTATGTGTATATTTTACTCGTGTCTCAATTCCTAGTATAAATGATATGACATGATAGATTATATCATGTATCCTCTCAGATAGGATATCTCGATTATAAAAAATAATATGTGATTAATTTGCTAAAAATAATGTTACTAAACATGTAATATAAACAAGTTTATAGTTCACACTTTTATAACATAAGGAAACAGGGAATAATAAGGAAATAATTAAATGTAATTTTACTAGATATAAAAATTTCTCTCAAGATAAAATTAAGATCTTGACATAATTGTTGAATTTCAATAGATTCTTAGTGAAAATCTATCTAAATTACCATGCTAAATATAAAATGCTTAATTTTCTTTAAGAAATATATTTTTAATATATTTTACATGATCACCTTTCCTTATAATTAAAAATTAATTGGAATGTTGAAACAATATAATATTCACATTGCAGAAATAATCCAAATTCCAATTAGTTTTGTAAAATATGGTTTGTCATTGGCAGTATTACTTTGTAATTGAAAACAAAAAAGAGAGCAAACATTACTAGAATAAAAATATCTGTTATCGCAACATAAGAAAAATATAAAAGATTATAGCATTACATAACTTCTTACATAATTACAAAATTCAATGTTATACTAATTGTTATAATCGAAAATTTCATTATTTTTATATATTCACTCGTTTTATTGTTTTTTTTATTATATGTGAAATTTTATTTTACACAATTTAGTTAATATCGACATTCTCTTAATGGAAGTCTAAAGGTTATGATACAATTATTAAAAGGATACTCATCAAGTTCCTCTCCCATTTTTCCAACATGTACATTTCAGTAATTAGCGTATATCGGAAGTACCAATACTTAAGAAAGGCTCGTAAATTTCGTATAGTATTAATCATTGTGACTTTGTTTAAATTAACAAATTGACTCTAGTATAAGTATTCACTGAAAATCGAACGACTCATGTCGCATTATCAGATTTATACACATTAAAGGCTGCTACCTATGAAATATCTAAGTAATAAACATTCACGATAAATAATTAATTGTATGTTCTGCTAAATAATGTGATAACATCATTACTGGATATTTAATCGTTTAAAGTGTTTATATGCTTTCACATTGAAATATAGCAGTTTCATGTATAGCAACTTTTAAGCCCTATCCAGGCAAATTTGTGTAAACGCAGAGTGCATTCGCACAGAAAAACTGATCACTTGTATGGCATCAGCAATCTAAAGAATGCTAT